CACACAGCCTGCGCAGCCACTCTCCTGGATCTCTCTTTGCTTAATGCACTTGCCTAACATCATCCACACGACAGCTGTTTGCTGCATAAAATGGCTATGCTGGAAGAGGCTTTCAAGGAAACTGAAACACCGGCCGATAGCGGCCAGCAGCTATCTCTGCAGAGAGAAAAGCAGCTACAGGGCCTAGGTTGGCGTGTTTCCAGCCGTACGGTGGCTCCAAAGGCGACTTCCTTTCACCAGCCTAGGGTGTCAGCATAAAAGAACCCGTGTCACACGAAAGACTCCAAGAGCGGGAGAGAGCGAGCCTCTGCCATGTCCGAAACGGCCGGTCGCAGAAAGGATCTCTGGTTGACCTGGGGGGATACACTGATAAGTTTGATTGAGGGACCAGAGTTACAGTCAATTGGGGGACGGGCCACAAAGTTCGTGTGATGGTCGGCTATAGCACGACCAAAGTCAGCCGGGTAAGTCTGGGTCTGCTTGAGCTTGGGCCCTCCTGTCCTCAGAAGAAAGAAGACACTAACTGGTATTTCACCAGACGACTGAAGTACATGTTATGCAATCACGAAGGAAGACAGACACACTCTGATTAGGATTCGGGCACTAGTTCCCGGCCAGCTCCTTTGTCAAACCTCCGCTTGACAACCCCCTTGGCACTCAGGCCAAGAGCCTTCTTCTTGGCCAACGTCAGCTTCTTGTACATCTTGGGCAGCCAAGGCCTGCAGCCGCAATATGTTGATAACCAAGCTTTGGAAAGGGTATTCAAATAGGAACTACTAGGGTTCGTGCGGGGTTCCCACCAGCATCGTGGGCTTGACTGTATAGTGGCCGTAGGCTCCCATAGAACTTGGCAGGGCATGTGACGAGTGTCAACATAATGTAGCAAAACCGCGGCAACATATTTTCGAAGGACATGCTGCAATAAGGCTGGGACAACCTGACGATGCCAATGGGGATGTAATTCTTCAAGAGCTCGCGGATGTACAGCATGTACGGGAGATTGGGGAACAGCGAGGATGAGGGTTGCTCGATGTACCAATATACAGACCGCATCGATGCTAGGACGCACAACAAGATCGTGCGAGTCGCTAACCTAGCAGAGATATTCGAGGTTTAGGGTCTAGGGCTTGTTTGGGCGAGGGGGCTTCAGGTTGGGGGCCTAGGGTTTCGGAGCTTAGGGTTTATAATATGGCTAGGCTTCTGGGGCTTAGGGCTTAGGCCCTAGGATATTGCCGGTATATTATATCTGGGGTTTGACATAATCATAGATCTAATATAGAGGCTGTAGGCATTGATTGGTTACCGAGATTCGACACTAATCTTCTAATGCTACCGAAGGACACGTTCGCCTCCTTCACGTATTTGTACTTGCTGGTACCGAAGATCCGGCGTACCGATCGTCCCGAAGTCTTACGATTCATCCAGACCCAGCTGCCGCAGGGAAGCCCTGCTGCTAGAAGGCTTTTTGGAGCCAGCCTGAGCACCTTCGCCATCGCCCGTAGC